GGCCATGATCGAAGGCAAGGCTCGAGGGCCAGGATCAAGACCCAAGATCGAACTTGATCGAGGCCATGACCGAGTCCTAGGCTCGAGGCCTGATCGAGGCCATGACCAAGTCCCAAGATCGAAGCCATGATCGAGGCCATGACCGAAGCCCAAGCTCGAGGGCCACGATTGAAGCCATGATCGAGGCCCAATTTCCGAAGGCTGCCTCGGCAGTTTATAAAAGAGGACATTCGTCCCATTTTGCCATTTTTGACGAACTTGAGCTTGAGCAGAGGCGACTTTTGTCAATTTTTCAAGGGAAAAATATTGGGGTAAGTGATTCTAACTCGGATTTGGTCTACATATACAAGTATATCATTGTTTTCACCATAAATTAGTGTTTTGAGATTTAAATTTGGGAAATTTTTATTAATCTCATAGAAACGATTTTTTTTTTAGATTTCGGTATCGATTCGGAGTCGGATTTGAGTGAAACTGGTATGTTTGGACTCGTAATTGAATGGGTTGTCGGATTTCGTAACTTTTGCCGGATTTCGAGACGTGGGCCCCACGGAGGAGTTTTTAATTAATTTCGGGATTTTTATTTAAAATGTAGTATTTTCTTATAGAATTGATTCCTATAATTTTTAGTGATTGTATAGAATTATTTTGGATAGATTCGAGCCAGATAGAGTTGGATAATCGTGGAAAACGCCTTATAGTGGAATAAATTGGAGCAAGACGAGGTAAGTCTCTTGTCTAATCTTGTGAGGAGGAAATTACTTCATCGGTGATTAAAATTAAATAATTATTGCTAATTGTGGGGGCTACATACGCACGAGGTGACGAGAGTCCGTGCGTAGCTACTATTAATGCTAAAGTCCGGGTAGTTTAGGACTCAAAGTATGCATTACTTGTGTAAATAGTAGTCTTTGATTAATTAATATTAATTGATATATACGAATATATTGTGAATTGTTAGATAAAGATATTAAAGGATGGAAATCTCATAGGCTTGATTTTCTGTTTAAATCAATTAATTGTTAAAAGAAATTATTCTCCTCCCGAATTTATCTTATAATAAATATACTCTCCTTCCGGGGGCACATAAGAAAATGTCCTCCTTTCTTGTTGAGCGGGCCGAACGCCTCGGCAGGATAGATGCATCTATGGATCGCGTCGCACGTCCCTCGGCAGTGTACATGGCACTCTGGATCGGGTCGTACGTCCTCGGCAGAAATCGTGCTTAATAATAATAATTACACTATACTTTAATAATTTATTTAGCTTGTGAAGCTAATTAATAAATTGAAAAATCTTTGAAATTTAATGAATTATTATTCTTACTTGTTAAGGAATTAATTGTTACTCCTGTAAATGAGGTTTAATTGATAAATTGGAAATTATTTGAATTAAAGGAATTTAATTAATATATTGAGAATTGTTACATTTGAAGAAATTTGATTATTTCTGCTGATTAAATAAATTATTGTAAATTTTGTAAATCATGCTGATTTAAATATCCTAATTTTATTTCAGTTATTATTATTGACTCATAGTGAGTGTCAAAGTCGGCTATCTCGTCTCTACCACTTCGAGATTAGGCTTGATACTTATTGGGTACACGTTGTTTACTTACTCATACTACACTTGCTGCACTTTTTTGTGCAGGATCTGAGACATGTACTAGTGGAGGACCTATCATCACATACCCACGTCATCCCGAAATATAGTGGTAAGCTGCCTTTCTGAGCCGTTCTGCAGCTACTAGTGTCTCCTCTTATATTTACATTCTGTCTATTTCATTTCAGATAATATTTGGAGTTTTGTATAATCTACTAGATGCTCATTAACTTGTGACACCAAGTCTTGACACACACATTGGTAGAGTTTGTGTTTATATTTTCTTGGTTTTAAATTTTATCAATGTATGCTTAATTTATTAGTTAGTTTGCCTAGCTTTATTGTTGGGCGTCATCACGACCTACAAGTGAAATTGGGTCGTGACATAATATATATAATAATATATAATTTTATACCTTAATAAATAGTGAATTCAGCTAGTTATGTGTGTAAAGATTGTTGAGTAGACTTCGTGCTTCATAATGGAGAACATACTGTATAACTATCCGTAAAAACAGATAGATATTAACATGGCATTTGAAACCCCTTTCCTACCTTTCTCTGTTTTTCCTTTCTTCCATAGAAGCTTCCACTGCAAGATCCATTTCTACTTTCTATCAATCTAGAAGATTCTGGAACAGCGGAGAGCAATGAAAATGAACCCTAGAGCTTGATCAGTCGTTCATCTTCTCCACAAAACCAACTCACTACCACGTCGAATCATTGAATTCTCTATCAATTTTGAAGTCTTCAGGAAGTTATGGCCGATAATTCCAAGGACGATTTCTTCCAGCTCTTCAAGCGATTTGGGGCTTTTCTCACCCTAAAAGTTTCTAATCTCTTCCAAAACCTGGTTATATTCTCTCTCTTTCGAATTTATTTTGCCTTCTATTTTGTTTAATTAAGGAATCGATTTTATCTTTTAGTCTTATGTTTAAGAGTTTAAGTTCTATGTACTGCCGTTGAAAAACAATATTTACACAATCAAGTTAATTAAATTAGGGAAAATTTCACATAAGAACAACTTGGCTCCCTACTTTTCAATTTTATAGCCCATATTTCAATTTACAACCAACTAGCCCGAAAATAATAGGTTAAGATTCAACATCCAATTCCAATAGATTCTCAAAGTTACTATTTAATTTTTTTAAAAGATTGCTCAAGCTTTTAAGTTAATTTTTGAATCAGTAATTGTGTCTCAAATATTAGTTTAACAAACCAAATCCATTTGAGTGTTAAAAATTAGATTTTTAACAAGCTTAAATATGTGGGTTTAAATTCCGAATTTGATTTTGTGAGAAATTTGGAGTGAGTGTTATTTAGGCTTGTCAGAAATAGTATAAGGAGGTTGTATATAAAATTTGAAGTCATTTAATGGAGATTTGGACCGGTTTTGAACAAGAATTGCAACTAAAAATCGTGGAAGTAGTTCGTCTACAGAAGCTTGTATAAAGGTGTATAAAAGTGTATAATAGTGTATAAGATGTGTTTATACACTCATATACGCTATTATACAAGATTATACATATTTATACAAAAAACTGACTTCGTCTTCCTTGCGTCTTTTCTGAAATTTAACTCAAATCTTGCTCAAATCTAATCCAAATCGCTTCAAATTTAAATTTTGAACTCCTTTTGATATTTTCAACCAATTGGAACAACACCCAATCCAAACAACTAACAAACTCAAAACATCCTATTTTCGAAAGCAAAGCTTTGAATGGCCTTCAATGGTGGACTTCTACTCTTCAATTTTCTTACATTGCAACCAGGTGACACAGGGGAAGAAGCAGAAAATACACGGCCTCTTGAAGCATATGTAGAAGATGTGAGAAGAAGAGAGAGTGAAAGCAATGGTTGTGAGAATACAGATTTAACTCCATAACTTTTAGAAGTAATGGTTGTAAGAACACAAATTTTGAATTTGCTAGTGCTTTCAAAATATGTACAATATGGGCTAGGTCGGGTAAAACTTAAAAACATGGGCCATTTTTTGTTATAGTGTGAAGTCACGTGTATTTTCTTGTAATTCTTTCATTAAATTACGCCTATGATATAAATAAATCATGAAACTGTCAGCGCATATAACTTATTTGTGAGGATACAGATAGTTTTACTGTGTTAAATTGGGGAAGTCGGATAGTTTTACTGAATAATTCGATAATAATCAGTGTTGTGATAGGCTCGAATGAGGCATACTTAAACCCTGAAAGTAGACCCCAGATTCAGCTTGTTTAGGTGATGATTTAGTGCTGGCATAGAGGGACTAATGAGTATGCTAATTGTCTGGACAAAAGTTGGTGGAATTGGACCTAAAAGACCCATTTAGGTTAGATATCAGTAGAAACATAAAACAAAAGAATTAACTACGTCAAGAACTTCTTGTTCACTTGGAATTGTAGAGGGGAGAACAAAGGAGATATTCAAAATTGTACAAACTATTGCGGCATTGAACTTATGAGTCATACGATAAAACTTTGGGAAAGAGTGATAGAGTGTAAACTTAGGAAAACTACAAGATTGACTGAGAATCTTTTCGGATTTATGCTATATACTTGCTGAGAAGATTGATAGTATTTTATCGCGAAGGAAGAAAGATCTACACATGGTGTTTATTGAGCTGGAGAAAGCGTATAATACAGTATCAGGAAGGGTCACCCACCTTCCTTTGGTGGGTGTTGGAGAAGAAAGGAATTCATGTTAAATAAATAAATACCATAAAAGACATGTATAAAGGAGTTGTTACTAGCGTAAGAGCAGTAGTATGAGATAAAAAGTTTCCCATAATCCTGGATTTACACTAGGGATCGACATTAAGTCCATACAGTTCTTTTGAAGAAAGTGGAATTTCATTAACAAAAAGCATAAAAAAGATGCATAGATTACTTCATCAAAAAAAAATAAAGAAAGATGCATAGGTTACGGAATTAAAGAAGATATCAGCCCAAGAACACAGAGTGAGCCCATACTCTTTTATACTAGTTATGGATGATCTAACCAGAAGTTGAAACACTTTAGAGAATAAGGGTTTTATGAAAAGTAGAAGTAAGATTGAATTATATGCACGGCAAATTAATCAACATAAAAAGAATGAAGTTCATGTGAGATTAGATGGGATTATGATGCCTAATGTGTAATAATTCAGATATCTAGGCTCATTGTTCAAAAAAATGAAATGATAGATGAAGCTATTACATATAGAAGCAAAATTGGATGGTTGAAATGGAGAAGGTAAGCTATTACCTATTGGGGTGTTGTGATAGGAAAATGCCTACCAAAATGAAAGGTAAGCTTTATAGAATAGTTATAACACCAACAATATTATATCTGGTGAATGTTGGGCTGCTAAAGTCCAACTCATCCGCAAGATGAGTATCACAGAGATACAGATGCTAAGATGGATGTGCGCTCGTATAGATTAGTCAAAGTTAAAAATCACAACATTCGCTAGAAGGTGCAAAATAGCACACATTAAGGATAAATGAGAGAAGGCAGCTTGAGATACCTTGGTCATGTCTAGTGTCAACCTCTAAATGCTCTGGTCCTTAGATGCGAAATCATGGTTAGTGAAGGTGTTAAAAGGGGACGAGATAGGCCTAAACTCACTTGGAAAGAGGTGGTCGTAAAAAAACTAAATTCTCTTGGAATCAATGCAGACTTGGCGAAAGATAGGACACAATGGAGGAGAAAGAGCTATATAGGTGATATCTAGTAGTTAGAAATATATATTGATCATGATAATACGTCTACCTTAGCTCATATGCATTCTAGGAATCTTTTTGCCCTATTAGAGAATCTTAATCAGTATGCAATATAGAGAAATTATAGTTTCCATTTTATTTTTATTTTGTGTAATGTTGGCTTGAGATAGATTTAACTTTGGAACATGGTCAGTGAGGATTCATATATATAACCGACTATAACTTGTTTGAGATTGAGGCGTAGTAATAGTTGTTTTTTGGTTCATTTGTCCATATAATTGTAGTTTCCTTTTGTACTTATTTTTCTTGCGTTACTTATATAAATCTTTTCTTTCCTCATTACATTTTTCACTAACATCTGCTGTTTAATTCCTCTTAGTGGTTAAAGTCCCATCGAATATTAATTTTTTTCTACGCATTTAACTTTGACGACATAATGATACCTTTTTTTAATCAGTTTGGGTCGAATTTTCTGAAAATCATCGACTTTGGCATTAGCCCAGTATATTCCATAATTTTAAGACAACTACCACATTGCCTGAGCAATAGCAGAGTGTAGAATTAGATGACTGCACAATTTAGAGTTTCAGGGCTTCTAAAGTGTGATTGCCTGAATCTTTTCCACCACTTGCAAAGTTGAGGAAGGCAACATACGTTGAATGAGCAATTTGTGAAATCCACAACCAATAAACTGCCATTTATCTAATTGTTTGCAGATATAATCTTTCTGTTATACAAGAAGTAGTGCTATAATCGCTTTTTTTTTAATGACATTCCAAAGAAAGATGTTTTAGATGTTGTACTACCTTCTCTTAGATGGTAACAGCTATTTGATGTAAATGCAGGATTCAAGATCTGTAGGAGCTATAGCAGGTCTTGCATTTGCAATAGTTTTTACATGGAGAATATTGAGATCGCCTAGTGGACCACAGAGGAGGCGTCCTAAGCGACAAGCTGTTACACCTGGTAGTTCTGATGTAAACAGTCATTTAAGTGCAATTGTAGCAACTTCAGGAGTTAGCCCTTCTTCAGAGGATTCAAGTACACAAAATGTTATTGATGAGTTCTTTCAGCCAGTAAAGGTAGAAAGAGATTATTCTTCGGCCCCTACCCCCTTAATTTGGATTATCCAAATATAATTGGTGGATAAGTGACCTTCTACTAATTGCTTTGCAGCCAACACTCGGGCAAATAGTCAGGCAGAGGCTGAGTGATGGGAGGAAGGTATCTCTTAATGTTCTTTTGTTGCTATTTATTTAACATATTCTTCTTCCACCATCCCCAAGGCTCATGGATGCCAAGTAAATATTTGATGTCTAAAATACATAATATTAATCTAAGAATATTTTGAGATCATAAAATTTTCCGTTCTCTTAGGTGCCATGAATGTTTTTTCCAGAACATGCCGAAAAAATTATAAGTAAAGATCAAATTGTTGTTTGTTTCAAATATATTCAAGTTTTGTTTGGAAAAAGTCTTTTGCAATATTGTTTCTTTGAAGTTGTAATTTGAGTATGTTTTTACAGAATGTTTTCAAGAAACTCTTCTCCTCTCCCAAAACATAAAAAGAACCACTCAAACGCATCTAAAGTTTTCGCAAACTATTTCCAAATGTTGTTCAAATGGTAGCTTAAATTCTTGATATAGTTTTTGATTTGTGTGCAAATAGGTTAAATTAGTTATTGAATAAAGGGCTTCGTTTCATCAAATTTTTGTGCCTTGAAGTATAGTTTGGAAGGTTGAATAGATTGGATGCCTTCTATAATTAGTTGGAGGCATAGCTTTATACTTCGTCTCATTTTATGTGAAGGTGCTTTGTTGGGCCCGAAGTTTAAGAAATTAAATAAGACTTTTGACATGTAAGGCAAATACAGTGACCTCTCACCTCTCTATATCAACATTCTTGTATAACAGTCATTCACTATAAAAGCCTAGTTTTTCTCGAAACCGATTTTTTATGTTATGTTATAATATATGTCCTCTATAACAGTACTTCCATAACATTCGGAAAATATCGGAACAAACACGACTGTTATAGAGAGGTTTGACTTTGTATGCAAAGTACCAAAATTATTCTTTTAAATGAGTAGTCGTGACTTGTGAGAGTTCCGCCTATCTTTTCAGTTTTTCTCTCCTTGTAAAAACATAAACTTTTATATCAAGTGGGTCCCAACAAGTCATATCATTATGGATAAGACGGGAATGTTAAGTTAACAACACCGCCCAGGCCTAATGTAAATGTACCAACAATAACGATGTCATATTATATGGACTCTTTGCTTTTGTTGTATTTTGTTCTTAACTAAGTCTCTGATGAAGTCTACCTAGCATGCGCAATGTGCATAATGGCGTGTTTTACCAATCTTATCCTTTAATTGGTAGCCTTATTGGAACCTAGTTAAAATAATGCAAGTAATTTATTGATAACCACAACGAGATATTTGAGAGCATTATGGTTGTCTCTACCTCAATTTAAAAAGCATCTGCTACTCGACCAAATCTTATCTGTTCAAGCTTTCCCGATTCTGCTTGGCATCGTTAAAGTCCATTTATGCCTTCTTTTTATCTTTTTATCTCTGCAGCACAAATAACTTAGAAAATCTGGATATTCTTTCACTGTACAGGTAACATGTCGGTTGCTTGGAGTAATCCTGGAGGAAACTAGCCCAGAGGAACTACAGGTTATTATTATTATTATTTCATTTGTTGATTCAGTTGTCAACATGCAGTTGACAATGTTTATACTTTGTCCTTTGCAGAAACAAGCAACTATCCGATCCTCCGTGCTGGAAGTGTTGCTTGAAATCACCAAATTTTGTGACCTTTATCTCATGGAGAGAGTACTTGATGATGAAAGTGAAGTTAGTGCACTGCTCACTCTGTTATATTACATCTGTATGTCGATTAGTAATTGCTACTGATCCAGTCCCTTTAAGTATTTTATATCTTTATTGCCTGATTCAGAAAGAATAATGGGTGGCAGAATGCCATTTGATGCCTCTTTCAAAATGAAAAGGGAAAGGCTGACATCGTTGATTGCTTTGTATACCAAATAAAACTCGCTCTTTGAACTGATCCCTAAATTTAAAATCTAAAAAGACGAATTAGTCTCTTTGATGCCAAGTGTAGGTGAGTCTAAAAATCGAGTTGCCAATATGTTGCTTTAGGCACCGATTACGCTTGCTTAATTTCTAAGAATAACGGATAAGCTCAACTTCGGTAGTATACCTTTTACTTAATAGTTCAGTCAAGTGGAATGTCATTCCCTGAGCAACTCACTACTCTCTTCTTGTCTTTTTCGGAAAACTGATGTCACATTCAATAATCATCCCACATTAACCAAAATTTATCATTTACTTGTTTAGTACGATATTTTCACTTAATAATCTGCATAATTTAAAGCTTTCTTTGGTAGAAGTCAAACTAAACTCCTGAGCAAGAGCCAAGCTTTGACTAGAGATGGCAATGGGGCGGGGTGGGGCGGGTTTTGCCTTAACCCACAAAATTTCAACCCGCCCCACCCCGCATAGTATTTTCACCCGCATCCACCCGCCCCGCATCAACACCCGCGTCCACCCGCACCGCACCGCCCCCCTCTGCAAATTTTTCCCTTTATTATTTCTTTCAATTTGTAATATTTTTATCTTATTTAATTTTATTTTCAATTATATTCATATATGCACTGCCAATCTAAAGGTTCCTGTTGGAATCCAAATTGCAAACCAAAGAAGTCCAATTTTGAATATTCATAACTGTAAATCCTACCGAATGCTGTCAGTTTTGACTTTTAATAGTGTTCGGTTTTAAAATTTTTAAATATCCTTATTTCTGATTTTACATGCATCAGTATTGGAATTCAGTTTGATATATCAGTATGTCATTTCTAATGATTCAGATGTATCGTACAAGGTAATGAGATCAGATACATGAAAATTGAGTCAACTAATTATCTACTCGACTTAGATAAAGTAACTATATAGTTAAAGTGGGATCGACTTTAAAACACTAAAAAAATATAATATAATATTTTCTTCCCAGAGATGCAAATAACAGAAAAATGTGTATTTACAGTCAACTAAACAAATGTCCAATATGAAATACATGCCTCGTTAAAACCAAATTAGTTTGAGACTAAAATAATCAATGCATAGGAGAAAGGAACCACAAGTTCAAAACTGAAAAAGTAAATATTTCCAGGTTGTAATAATATTAGCAATAGTTGAAACGTTGTAATTTTGCAAAAAGTTAAAACTCTGCACCCGCACCGCACCCACAAAGGATTTTTAAAAAATTATTTTGACCCACCCCGCACCTTCATATGTCTAAACCCGCACCGCCCCGCACCCGCACCGCCCCATTGCCATCCCTAGCTTTGAGATAAGATGACCATGTTTGAGTTTCCTTTGGACTTCTCACTTCGAAACGCCTGGTTTTGTCTACTAGTTCATATATTCTTGAAGTTCTCATATTTGGTGCGCGATTCATTTCTTAGCACCCACTTATCATAGTTACAGTGCATCTTGTTGGTGGGCTGTGTGTTGATCCATTCATTGTCTATGAGTAATCTGCATGTATATATCAACAAACTTCTTTTTCTTGCATACATATTCCTGAAATGATCGAATATTTGCAGAAAAACGTCCTGGTGGCTTTAGAAGATGCTGGAGTGTTAAGCATGGTCAAAGACAAGGTAACAACTAATCATTGTTCAACTCCATAGGAAGTCGAAATCCATTTATAATACCTTCATGGAGTTCTTGTTGGTGTGATTGTTTTACAATGGGTGTTGTCTTCAACTTTTAATCTCAACCGTGCCTCCATAAACACTTTTCCTTCGTCTGCAAATTGGTATCCTCTTCCTGGAAAAATCAAGATGATTATTCTTCCAATTGTTTTGCCTATAGATTTTGGATGCTTGCTCTTTATCTCATAACGTGAGCTATTGACATTTCCTCTGCTCTGGTGAAAAAGATATATTTTGTCTCCTTTTGGTAGAAGTACTACGTTAATCTCCCTTCTTTAAATTGTATAACAAAAATATAATTTAATTTATCGGTGGACAAGTTTAACCCATATATTTTAATTTTGTTCTTCTGTATAGCAAAACTACATTCTCGTATTGTATTGGATCATGAATATAATTTTACCATCCTATTTGCAACTTTTTCATTTAGGCTTTACACACTTAATATATAAACATAAAAATGCAAATAAAAACATGGAAGATTGCAAAGTGAAAAAGAAAGAAATTGAAAGGGAGTACTGAAATAGATTTCTCTATAGATATATATTGTATCATATTTTTTCATTTTGTTCTTTTCATCATTCTTTGTTGGTGGTGTACTTAAATTTGCTGGGTGCATAAAAGAGTAAATACATGCATACACTGATAATTTCTTTAAAAGGAAATAAGGTACTTTGTTGCACACGTGGAAGAAAAAAATACTAAAATTAACTACAAAGGACAAACTTGTCTGTATGTATATAAAATGTAGTTTATTACACAAAATAAAGAAAAGGGAATTTTTTGTAATATCTTTTTTAAGGATTGAGGTATGTTTCTCTCTAGCGCTTATTGTTATCTTCTCCAACGCTCCTAAAGCTCAATCAGTATTGTAGAAGATAGTAAGAGTAAGTGTGCTGAATGATGCAGAGCATGTGCAATGCTGCACCTAAGGGTATAGCTTAGTGGTTAATGAAGTAGGTTGATAACCATGAGGTATCAGGTTCATATCCAGTGGAGGTCATTTCTTCCATTTGTCCAAGTCTTGATGGGCAGAGTTCCCGGTACATGTGCTGGCGTGAGGTAGCAAGTTACTCAGTGAAATTAGTCGAGGTGCGCACCAGCTGACTCGGACGCCATGGTTATCCAAAAAAAAAAAAAAAAAAAAAAAAAAAGAGTGGGGGATGCTGAGAAGAGAGGAAAGCGTCAGGTCATGATAAGGCCTTCTTCAAAAGTCATCATCAAGTTTCTCCTTGTCATGCAAAAGCATGGGTACATTGGAGAGTTTGAATATGTTCATCACAAGGCGGGGAAATTGTGGTTGAATGAATGGCAAGCGGAGTAACATAATGACTGGTTAATTGAGTAGTACAAAATTGATTTAGTATCCCAGCTGTCAAAGTTTGAATGTTTTGATATAAGATGCAACAGTTGAATTGATGGCTCAGCTTCCCTTTATAACCTCTATTATTTTTCTGATGATCCTCTTTCTTCTTGTATTATGCATGCAGGTTCTCTTTTGTAGCACTGAGAATGGGCGAACATCATTTGTCCGACAACTGGAACCTGATTGGCATATAGATACAAATCCGGAAATCATTTTTCAATTGGCGGTACTCCTTGTTTCCTTTGACTGATAACATGAGCGTCCCATCATCTTAGTTTTTCTTATTTCGGAAAACGTATTAATATTAACTTGTTTTTCAATATAACTTATTTTTCACTCTTTATTTTATTTGGTATGATGATGACATGAGTTGAGCTTAAATGGAGAAGCGAGGATTCATATAGTAGACCCAACTTGTTTGGGATTGAGGCGTAGTTGTCAGAAAACGTACTAATTCATAAGCTGAAAAAGTAAGAAGTATCATCAAACAATTAATCCATCCATTTATCTATCATGCATTAGGTAGATCTCTTTCTCTTAGTAAACAACTTCACTGTCTATTACTATAACTTGTATTAATAATAATGATTCAAAGCAAATTGCTTATCAATTTTATGCTTTTTTCTTCTTTGCATTTAAGAAAATGTGCAAGTTTAACCTTGTAATTTCCACTCTGTCAATGTGAATGTCTTTTACAAACACATACAGTTACTTGTCTCTTGCCTGTTTATAACTCAAGTTTAGACCTATAAAGATATTGGATTTTTCAGATACTGCTTTCTACAGGACATTCCATTAGGGTAGTGATGAAAACAAAATTGGAATGTCAAATGTTCTATAGTTATTTAAATGGCAGTGGGGCTATACAGACCCTAGTGCTTTTTCTTTTTTGATATTTAATGTGTTAATACAAACTAATTGCAGAGATTTATCAAATATGAGCTGCACATTTCACCTACCAAACCAGAAAGAGCAGCTATGAATGTCTTCAGCTCAACATCTTTGGAGCAGTTTTTTGGAACTGTTTAGATGCAAACCCGGAAGAGCTCTAACATGTTTTCGTTTATTTTAGGTCTCTCTTTTTGCCCTTCCTCTTTCACTTTGGGCTGTGAAAATTCATATCTTTATCTCATTTAAATCTTTTGCTGGTACCTGCAGCTTCAGTTTTGAGGTTCAAGGGGCACACTTTGTATATTACTATGTTATCACTAGAACAGATCACCTCATATGGTTGTGCTGTATTACTCTCCTAAGTCAAACCTGGCGCTGTACTGTATCCAAGTACTTCTCCACATGGTAGGCTCTATTTATCACATGGTAAAGAAAAGTATGACGAAACGGCTGTAAATCAGAATCTCTACGCGAGAATGTCCTGAAATGAGAGACGAGCAGTTATTGCCTGAATGGAAATCTGTTGAGTATATAGTTTATATAATCCCTTTTTTCGTGTGAATTTCTCGTGTTATCCAAATATACATATGAACGTCTGCCATATGTATGTGTATCTTGATGATTCTGCAGGTATTTAGTATTAAGCCAAAGGAAAACAAATAAGGAATATATGACCATTGAAAGCAGTCGCCAGGCTATGAGCCCCCCAAAACCTAGAGCGGAGTTGGTTCAGTAGTTGATATTCTAAAAGTCAAAACTGTGCAATTTGTCAATGTTATTTGTTTATGCTTTGTTACTCCTTTCGTGCAACATTGTTTGAGTGGACATCTTTTATATGCTGTAACATTTATGTGGCTATAACATCATGTAAATTGAAGATAATGACTAAAATGACAGGATTAAATTAAATTGTTACCAAATAGATAAATTATCCTTCTTGAAGAGGTAAAATGAATCAGAGGAAGAATTAATTTGTCATAGCGTGACATAAAATGGGGAGAAACTAAGGGAGTATTAATTTGTTCGTTGCAAAATGATATTTCAAAAGCAAGGTAAGCGGACTTAATCACTCGTCCTACCTATACTAGAAAGATAACCATTTCGTCTTCTGGAGTATTTAGCATGTTTCCTGTTATGACACATTTTAAACCAACAAACCCCAGCTACTTTCATAGAGTATCTCCCTGCAAATGCAAAGATTAAGAGACTCTAAACTATTATTATCAACCTGCTATACAAAAAGAAATCCGGTCTCCTCATCTAAATCAGGCTCAATAGCGTTATCTAAGTTTCTTTTCCTGTTGATAACAATCTTAATTTAAAACTCTAAAACTTGTATGTATAGGCCGATCATAATTTCCAGCTCATCAGCTCTATTCCTCTACATCTGTGCACCAGCTGCTTATTGATCGCTATGCTAAACAATATCCACTTCCGCCGTCTCTTCATCAAGCCCTACTGCATTATCACCCTTATACTGCAAGCAAAAGTAAACGGCTCACTTCAGATTAATACTTTTAGATGCTCAGCTTATGAATACAACAACATGCAAAAGGCAAGATCCCAGGCAACCTGACAAAAGATGTATATAGATAAGGACTAGGAGATAGATAAGCACTAAAGAGTAAGGAAAATGCTGGCAGCCTTTGGCAAGAATCTGTGGACTATAATGTAGTCTGCCTGATTTTTTCTTCGGGGTGGGGGTGGGGAGGAAGTTCGAAGGTGAACAGTATACTTTTTCCTTTCTCACTGCTCACCCCTTTATAGTTTGCATAATCCGACGAAAGAGAACTTTAATCACTGATAGTTTTACATAAAGTAGGTTGCAAACCGAAAGAACTCAAGAGTCCATATATTCACATGCTACATATGATGTAGTTAACTTATTGAACGTACCTTCAAATAACCACCTGGGGGGAGAGGAGGAGGAGGTGGTAGAAAAGGATATTCTGGAATACCAGAAGGAGTTCCCTTCCCAGCTCTTGTAGCATTTCCAGCTACTTCAACTTTTTCCTCCATCTCAACAACTTCAACATCTTCATCTGCTGCATGGGCGGCCATGCTGGTTGATGGCAAAACAACAGCAACATCAGAGGCTTTGGGCTGCAGAATTCGAAGAACGCGTTTTTCAGTTCCACAACAGCAATTGTAAGAGAACGAAATGTTCTAAGATGCTATATCCTGCATTGTTGTTTGCAGCATGGAAATTGGGTCACCTACCATCAGGGATAAGCTGTAAGATACCTTTTGCTTTTCAATCTAGAAATGCCAAAGGCAAAAGAATAGTGTCACAAAATCAGTGCGAAAAGCGCAAAAAAGCTCTAAGGTTTGGTGGGGCTTTAAGCGCAAATAAAGCGTCGGCTTTAATGAAGAAAGACGCAAATGGAGAATAACTACAAATATATATGTGTAGTCCAAGACTAATATCTATAAGCATGAATACCAAATATATGGACAAAGAAATTGAAGAAAATTTACGATAAAGTAAAATATCAATTGTTTAGTGTCGCCTCTTTAGGATTACGCTCATTGATAAGTAAAAGTATGTCTTAGAGTCTTGATGACAACACTGAAGCGCCCGCTAAGCGAGACGAAGCGCTCAACATGTTTTGAACCTCGTTTCAGGGCTTAAGCGTGCTTTAGGCGCGCCTTTGATAACACATCACAAAATTAATAAAATATTAAATGGGAACAGCTGCATTCTTCCAACAAAAAATGATAGTCAAATTCAGTCGAATGCGTATTGAGGGAAGTACTGATGCACACTCCATATTTTTCAGCCAATTATGATTTTTTTCCCCTTCTCTTTTCTGACAAGTGATCCTCTCATATTGTCACTTCATTTTACTTCCCATTATCTGAATCATCCCATGTCATTCCATATCATTTTTGTAAATTTAATGTAAAGCACTTACCATGACGAACATGCAGATTTCAGAACGTTTGGAAAGATGCTTATGAATGCAATGGAAAATTTTGAAAGAACAAAAGGAGAAGACAACAAAAAAAAGAGCATCAGAAAATTGTCCGCGTAAAAATGAAATTGTATTCATTATCCAAGATATAAAGGAGACATTCTATCTCTTTTTAAGTGTCTGCGCCAATTTTCCTTTAACTTTCTTGGTTGGGGGAAAGGGTCGGGGTAACGAATGTTATGTAAAAGGAGCACCTTGTTTGGGAAAGTCATGTCACTGGAAAAGTTTATTCCCTTCTTGGACTTCTCTTCACCCACTAGGGTCTTATAACCATTCTCCCAATCGAACTCTGCATTATCTTTCTTCTCATTATTCAGCTGAGTAGGATAAGCAATCCTCTGCGAAGCATTTCCTTTTCCTTTTGTTGAAGCTGTTACAGAGCGAGTTGCCAAAGGTAAAACAAGTCAGAGAAACCAAATTCACAATGAGGGATTTCATGAACTCTGATTCAAACTTTTGCATCATAAAATAGGATCTAATATTCACAAGGACGGGAGCTTTGAGGACTGTGAATCAAATGTTGTGCATGGTTAAGTAGGACTGCAAAGAACACTATTTTCAGTCTACTGGAATTTGTTGGAGATGAGGAAGAAAAGAAATAAAAGATGAGCAGGAAGCAAATGCTGATTATCACGTATTTCAGCCCAAGGTAGGGGTAAGACCTGCATGCACACTACCCTCTCCAGACCCCACTTGTGGGAAATCATTGGGTTTGTTGTTGTTGTTGTTCAGCCCAAGGCTGCGACAGCCACTTCGACTATATATAAACAACAATAAAACAGGGTACCGAGACATACACTGAGGTCTTTGGCAGTTTTGTTCAGGAAAACCAATTATATAAATAAGCAAGCACACTCAAAGTTGATGATAAATCAGAAAAGTCAGCTTAAGTGCCCTGGATGTCTGAAAAGCTACACTCTTATACATAAATTGTCATTTATTACCTTGATTTGAGGTTTCATCAGCTTCACGATGAATTCTCGGCCTTTTCTTGGTAGGTGAAGTATTCTTCTGCGGCTCATCCAATGAGCTAAAATGAACACCAGCCATCCCTCCATCACTCATATTGATGGCCGAATCCTCTTCACTTGCACCGGGCCCGACCAAATCTGAGCTGAGTTTATTAGCGAGCTTTTGAAGCTGAGCTTCTGACCTACAATTGCACTATCTCCACTGAGTGTTCGTAGAAAGCAAAGGAAACAGAAATTGACCTAACATATTAGGTGACAAGAAGCTGAAGTGGAGGTGGAGAGAGTCAACAGAAGGAGAAAGATCATTAAAATACCTTTTTAGTTCACCTTCTAACCGTGAGTGATTGCTGTAGGATTCCACGAACTTCTTGATCTTCAAAGTAATCCTGGGGAAAAGCCAGGGATTGGCAGACATAAGGAAAAGGTACACCCAGACTCAAGTGAAAAGATTTTGAAATGCATTATAACAGATAACACCTTTTACATTCCTCCTTTTCCTTGACAAGTTCCATCTCAAGGTCCTGAATTTTTGAAGCTAGACTGTCTGCCTGACGAGTTGTCTTTTCAAGGTACATCTTCCATGTTCCAACCAAAATAGAAAAGTATTGATGATAAACTTAATATATTAGAGCAAGGAGCAAAAGAATATGTGTTAAAGAAAAGGGGATGGGCACTGAGAAAGTAAGTAGAATAGTCTGTTGAAGAAAGAAGAGAGTGGAATATGGAAATATAGCAATTGTCAATGAGAGCCTCTGCATGTAGCTGATGACAAATGAGTAAAAAGATAGAAGAGGAAGTCTTTCCTATTATCCATATCACTGCTAGAAGTTAGAACAAAAGATTGAAGGTTTGAGCAAGAGAAGATAGCTTATATAAGAAGGAAAAACAAACCAAAAGCCACGAGGGTCATGCTAGACTGTCAAGGTGTTCTTTGGCAGCTTAGTACCCTTCTCTTCCTTTTAAGTGGCTAATATATGACATAACAACCAACTTTACTAACAAACCCTCTATTTGACATCGGGTTTCTTTGCCTGTAACAAAAAGAGCTAAAAACTGCCCTACCTAATGTTCATAGTTCCAAACTCTAAAGAAGTGAAAACAGATGCCAAATTGACTAATACCCCCAAACAAGGAATGAGATACAAGTTTAGCAGTAGTCTATTGGAACTTATTTCCTTAAGATCATCAAATTTTATTAAAGTTCTTCCGATTAAAGAGTCCCACTTCTCGTTAACATTTGACATTTCATTTCTTCGAGACCAAAGCAACAAGGAAATATCAGCATAGCCCGATACATGGATGGTTAAATCACTTACTTCATTATCTTAACCTTACCTTTGCGATACACATGTGAAAAGGAAAAAACAAATATATTTTATCCGTAGAGACACAAACATGTACATGCTTAGACACATGTTACATCTGAGCTGTGATACTACTAGTTATTAACAAAATAGGTATAAGTATTTCATACTCGGATTGGACAAGAAAAATGAAACCAACCTCCAGTTCTCGTTTTTGGTCATCCAACATATCGATTTCGGATTGCAACTGCCTAAGCTGCAACATGAAAAATAGGCAGAAATCACAACAAAATATATATAGATATAAATATAAAATGTATAAAACAGAGCCCACCAAAAGGGCAGAGAAAAGGAAGGGCTGATCAACACTGCTATTCGCGAACTAGAGTTATCTACTCCCTGTACCTGAAGGACATCTTCGGAACTGGAAGATAAATGTTTTTTCTCCTTCACGTGATCTCCTGTCCCAGCCGACATGTTCAAACTTCCAGACATATCACTTTGACCATCCGAATGATGTTTCATCTTCCGCTTTCTATCACTGCAGTATTCCAATTTTCTAGTATTAGTCCGACATTATGTTTATAGACATAGTATCAGGTCAAGATAATAGAAAGATTAAAGAAAATAGATTAATCATATGAAAACTCGCATATTGTCTTTATCATGAAATACCATCACATTGTCCAATGATGCTCTCTAAAGGGGTTCAGAAATCCCAAGAAATAGGGAAGATCCAATTAACCTCTCTACTTGTAAATATTCTGCCTTAGGAAGCTGCTAAGAGAGTTCTCCTTCATAAAATAAAAACCTAGGTCTCTTTACAGTGATCTCATTAACCGTATGAAAACAGTTATCAAAACTGGATTATAGCATTTCCTCCAAGACAAAACTGACTGACGCACAGAATAAGTTGCCATTTTACCTTTTAAAGTAGCAATTAAGATTTCCATATCTAGCATTAATCATAAGCAAATGGATTCAAGCTCAATCAGGTTCCAGCTCATTTCTGAGTGCTAAATTCAGTTCAAGGTTTCTATCTAAAGCCTGAGTATGTAATTTGTCAACATTGACCTGTCTGACTAAGCCCTAAAATGAAGTACGCACAAGATATTGATACACTTACCTCCTCCTCCCAAGAGACCCAGTAGGACTGCGCCCTGCAAAATAAATCGGAAGGAAATATTATATGAATGAAACAGAACCATGAAAGAAGGCCGAGAAAGAAAACCAGAGGAATGTATTAGCTCCAAATCTCCATGAACCAAAGGCTAGATCTAGCCAACATATTCAAATGATCCTGTGACATAAATAAGGACCTTCGGCAAGTACACTTCCATGGAAATGAATATCCGTAATGGCGGAATCACATAACTCATCCTTTCAGATGAGCAAGACTAAATAAGTCTATAAGGATTGGAACAATGACAGCAAAGTGAACGTGAAAGAAGCAAGCCTAACCATGGGATGCATGTCTCTCTCTTGCATCTCTATCGGAGGAGTATCTGCCCACCGGAGAACGCCTTCTATCAAGCTTCTCTCTCAAGTCATGACTGCGAAAATCGCGCCTCCCTGAAATGAGAGCACTGAATTTTTACACTAAACTGGACACAGTTGTTGATTCAAAACATTGATGAAATCCGCACCAACTAAATCGCCAATAATCAATAATAAAGCTAATCTTACCATTACATCGAACTACAAGAGAAACATAACAGTGTATTTACACGGCCTTCCTGCGAGTTCCAAAAGGAGCCATAGAAACTACTGCTCTCATATGATGCATATATGTAGAATACCAGTTTTTGAGCTTTTATCCAGAAAAGCTTCAAATATCATAGAACCAACTGAACAGCTAGTAGACATCCTTGCATCTAGCTCAGTATAAAAATATTGCTATAGATTCCTGCTTGCAGCTGTATAATGGACAAGTATTAAACCAGCCACTGGATGATATATAGGACAATAAGCCTTCTTGGACCAAAATACCCATCCAAGAGGTCTCTTTGAAGATTCATTCAAACAGAAGTCACAAGAAGGGAACACCATATTTTCGAGGAATATATGAGTGAAAAATTTACTAGGATAGAGCATTCATTGGTTCATCAAGCTGGCAGATGAGTAAATATATATATATGGAAGAGACTATGCTCAGAGAAACATATTCTGATCCCTCATACACTGCTGCTTCAAGATGCAATATGATAAACCAAGATGCTGAGAAAAATACCATAAGCAGCACAAAGATAAAGCAACCAGCAAATTCCTTTCTGATAAGAAATACTAAAACCTGTTAGTTGATAGGCAGTTATTCACTGTCCAATAGAATAACCCGAAGTGTGAAATTTCTTGGTTCAACTCTGTAACATTGCCAATTTGAGCAAACAGATACAACACGAGGCTCTCTTAAACTGAATGTTAACCAAAACGCATAGCAGAGATGTGCCAAACAAGCTTCGGAATAAAAATGAAAACAAAAGGAATTGCAAAAAAGAAACTACATACATCCAATGAGAATTTGTGATCAAGATATGGACAGATCTCTGCTCCCTTGATAGGTGGCTCAAGTACTTCCATTCATTTTAAAATTTTCAGTCTTTTCCTAGTTCCCAATTATTTGCAAATGATTGACAAACAAAATGGGAACTGACACGAATGGGGAGAAAAATATCCTAATGTCTGATGTAATTTTCCCTATCTTGTTTTCTTAAAAGAAATTAAGCATATATAGTTCTACAATCTAAAGAGTGTTAACTATAAGAAACAAACATGAATCAGCAAACGAAGCAAAATGCAAAATGAGACTTTTTCATCTCTTTAATCTAATATTAATGAACCAGTAAACACAATCAACAAGAGAAAGCACCAATTTCAACCAACCAGCAAAAGCTAGTTTGAAGGTATATTCTTCAACTTCAAAGACACCCTTTTTTCAACTATAACTCAACTATTGTTCAACCGCATATAGAATAGTCAATAAAAATGGTAAATAACAACATTTACGGAACAAACAATATGGTTAAAATTTCAAACAAGTGGTGATGGAGAAGTGAAATAAAAGTACCGGCGGCAGAGGAATCGGAGAAGCGACGGAGCTGCGCATTGCCATGAGCGAAAGAGCAACTCTGCCGATGACAACGGCCTCTTTGATAAAGCAAGCATAGTTTCGTTTTGTACAGCTTCCTCTCCACCATTTTTCTCTATTTGGATTTATATATGCAGCAGATTAATTAGCTCCAAAAATTAGATCAATAAAACAGAGGAAAATCGAGATTGTTAGCGTTCCACAAACCCTAATTTTGGATAGCACCACTGCAATAGTTCACTTGCACGTACGGATGGATATAAATGGATACCTTCTGAGGAACAGATTTTTAAGGTATTGAAATCGTTTTGTTGAATGAAAAACGCACGTGGTTTTTTTTTCTTTTTCTTTTGGCCTTTTTTGGGACAAAATACAACAAGATACCGAATATAAGCATGAACACAATATTAATGAAATTATAGATAAGAAAAAATAGTATTAAAAAGTCATATAAATACAGAATAAAAATAATAAAATAGTAAGATGATCAATAACGAAAAGAAATAACGGCTAGTCATAAAAACCTTACTACCAACCGAAAGTTAGACCGCGTGTCAATACTACTGTTATAAATACTCTACACTGCCTAGCCTACTACCCTAATTCTCGACCTCTATACATTCTTATAAAGTGTCAAATATATATTATATACAAAAATTATAAATTTTATATATTTTTATAATTATCGAATATAAATAATTCCGGTCGTGGGCTATAAGTGATATTTGTCCTTTTTCTTCCTTTCTCCGTGCGGTGATGTTCGAAAAGCTTAGCACTAGGCGTCTAGACTTAAGGGAAAAATACACCTTTCTTTTGCTTTTATTTGGATTTTAAACTTGAAATCTCGTAGTTTCTTTCACTTCATTGACTAATAGATTGCATTATTATATTAGTAATCGACAATCTGAAGTGTTTATTACCTGCTTAGAATCAAATAAAGGGGGTTAATTGTGACAATTCGGACTTCCGGATTCAATCTTGCAAAATCTTAAAAGAAGATAAGAACTTGGCTACGAATCTAACATAATTTAATAGTTTTTGTTCAAATATTAAATTTAGAACTCAAATATTAATATTTGAAATCGTCGACTCTAAAATTCAAAACTCATAAATTTAAATTTTGATTCTACCTCTAAGTACAAGTAAATATATCAATTTTGGTCTACTAAAGCATCAAATTTAAATAAGTGATTTCCTGTCATCCATTTAAATACATGTATACGGTCGAAATAGATTTCGGCCTTAGCATGTCCGATCGAGTTCGAACGATGATTTATCTAAGTAAGATCCCGAAGGTGGAACAAACTAACCTCGAACCAGGGGAGGCCAATCTGTGTCGGGTTCGATATCACTATCGAGCTCGAATCAAAATCGAACCACGATGCAGAGTAGATCTATCATGCTGATAATCCAGAGACCAACCAACATTGACTTCGAATCAATTCGAGGGTTCGAGCCAGGTTCGGGATCGAACCAATATCACGAGTTCGAGCCGAAATCAAGCTCAAACAAAACTCGAGGGTTCCAAGCAAGATCGAGCTCGCAGACAAAAGCCGTTGCAATCCCGCTAGAGAGGATCTTGGCAGAAACTATGGAAAATNCGATCGAGTTCGAACGATGATTTATCTAAGTAAGATCCCGAAGGTGGAACAAACTAACCTCGAACCAGGGGAGGCCAATCTGTGTCGGGTTCGATATCACTATCGAGCTCGAATCAAAATCGAACCACGATGCAGAGTAGATCTATCATGCTGATAATCCAGAGACCAACCAACATTGACTTCGAATCAATTCGAGGGTTCGAGCCAGGTTCGGGATC